GGCATTTCAGCTGACCAATTACAGCCTGGGAGAGAGAGCAGCTGGTGCCACAGCCGAGGGCCATGGTGGCCCAGCGCCAGGTCCTCTCTGCTTCTCTTCTCACCTCTGACGGGTGGCGACCTCTCCCAACCCTGGGCTCCAGCTGCCGCCTCGGCTGAGCCACCCCATCACCCCCTCCTGTTTTGTGGCCCAGGAAGGGTGGTGCCCGCCAGGTACAAAAGCCTTTGCTGGGCACACGGCGGCCCAGGTGGGGAGGCAGCCTGGCCCAGGCACCTGGAGCCCACCACCTGGGCTGGAGCCCACCTGAGTAGAGCACAGGCGGCAGAAGGGTGAGGGTGCAGGCAGGGACCGCCCCCCGCTTCGCGGGTCCTCCTGGCCCCTGGCCTTGCCCCGCCCACCTGCCAGCTGTGAACCTGTCTCTCTATCTCTTGGGAACATCACTGGCATTATTGATTTTTTGACACGGAACAGCAGCCTGTCTTTATCGGGCTGAACCCTGGCCCCAGCTAATGGTGGTGCGGCACTGTCGGAACCGCAAGCAGCTTGGGGTAGGTGGGGCCTGGCTCCCCCCACCAAGGCCCTCAGCTTGCGGCCCGTCCTGGGCCTCGGGCCATCTGGTTAGAGCCCAGGGTGGTGGTGGGACAGCGGTCTCTGCTCCGGCCCAGAGCTGCCCTTTCTGTAGCCTTGGTGGAGCTCACGGCCAGATCCCGGGGGTCTGCGGGGTGCCTGCCTTGATCCTGAACACCCCTATCTGAGCTCCAGCATGGGCTCCTTAGACACCTCTGGCCCTCCCGGACAGAGCCGAGGGGAGCCGAGTCCCGCCATGTTGCCCTGAGGCCCTCACACTGAGGTTTCTGAGGGGCTGCTGCTGCTCCCCAGCCTGGATGGATCTCCCTTGGCCCAAGGGGCCTGAGAAGGCAGAAACCACCCACCCTGCACAGTGCCCAGCACCCCTCCGACCCGGCACCAGACAGCCTGAGCTCAATGGGGGGGGGGGGCTGGCGAGAGGGCCGCCTCCTAGCGTGGGTGGGCAGGCACACGGGGCACGCGGCCTGTGCCCGAGGAGCGCCTTCACGCTTGTGCCAAAACACGTTGGTAGCCTGCTCTCTGGCGCCCTCCCCATGGAAGCTTCTAGAACCCTGCCTGGGTGGGGCCTGCTCTGGGGCCTGCTGGACCGGGGGTTCCCTCCTCTCCTCTCTTTTTCTTTCTTTTTTTGTGACTTTTATCAAAGGCAAACAGCATGATCCCGAGATAGGGCTACCCTGATAAGGCTGGGCCAGCTGGCCCTCGAGGAGCCACGGGGTGGGGCGGGCCGGGCGGAGCGATGGATGATTAGATATGTGGGCACAGTGGGGACCTGGGTGGGCTCCCGCACTCCAACCACAGAGCCACCGTTGGGGAGGGGCAGCCAGCGCCTGGACTTTGAGCTCAGGAGGCCACGGGCCGTAGCACAGCAAGCCTGGCCCTTTAAGGAGAGGCTGGCTGGTGAGTGGAGGAAGGACTTGCCCAGGTGGAGGCCTCAGACAGGTGGGGAAGCCAGGACCATGGTGGCTGAGGCACTGGGTCCCGTGGGCCTGGAGTGGACCATGAGACTGGAGCGGGCCTCGTCCTCCTCCAGAGACTCAGTGGATGGAGAGACGAGGGTCGGGGTGGCCGCACGCCCTGCTGTGTCCTTGAGCATGTCACCTGAGCTCTCTGGCATCATCCTCAGCTGCACCGTGAGGGCAGAGGGCAGCATGGGGCTTGGGGACGTGCTGTGGCTGGTGTTGCAGGGTCCCTGATGTGGTTCTCAGGGGCCACCACAGGCCCCCAGGGGCTGGGCAGAGCCAGACCCCAACACCAAGCCTGGTGTCAGGCTGTGCTCGTCTGGGGGTGACCCGGCATCTCCCTAGGGCAGAGCTCCTGGGCCAGCTCCCTCGGGCCCAGGGACAGGACCCTGGGCAGGTGACACTCCCTGGGTCCTGGAGGGCAGGCTTGAGGCCACCACATTCAGATGACAGCAGAGGTGTCAGTGTGATGGCCCCGCGTCCCAGCCATGGCGTCTGAGGCTCAGAAAGGTAGAGAGGAAACTCCAGCGAAGCTAGGGGCTCAGTTTAGAGGGCAATGAGGGTGGGAGTGCCCAGGGATGCTGAGGGCAGGAGGGCCAGGGATGCTGAGGCAGGGGCCGGAGGGCCAGTGGCGTGGTGGTGCTGTGGGCCGGGTGCCCAGCCTCAGGACACCCAGTGCAGCATCTCAGCTGGGTCCAGGCAGTCAGCAGGAGGGTAACAGTATGGCCACATAGACGGACACACATGTTCCTTCACCTCACAGCCACAGCCCCTCAGAACAGGCAGCCCTGTAGGTAACCCTTGAACAGAAGGGTGCGCTGAGGCCCACAGAGCATGTGCACACGGCCGCTGCCGGGCATCCCCAGGAGGCCTGCAGGCCTGAGTCAGGCCCTGCTGTCCCCCCACTCACCCCTGCAATCCCTATAGCCCCATTGGAGGGCTCGACCCTCAATAGGCATTTAAACCATCTCAGTATCAAAGGCCAAAATTTCTCCCATGGGGCCTTGGGGCAGTGTTTGTTCTAGAAGTAACATGTACAGCTGTTTGCCTGAGTAAATTAGCCCTTGTCCCTGCATTGACTTCGTAGTGATGGCCCCTCGCCCCCCTGGGGTCTGCCCTTCCCTCACAGGAAACTTCCTTCAAAGGGGAACCAAGGCCAGAGCAGCCTGGGCCCTCCTTACCTCCCACACACCACCAACTCCCACCTGAGCCCAGAAAACGGTATCCAGGTCCAGGGTGACGAGGGGCCCTGGTTCAAATCTCAACTGCTGCTGCCCGCTGTGCCTCCTTTAGCCAGTATCTTAACCTCTCTGGGGCTCAGCCATTCCCTCTGTCCATTGTAGGAGTAACTTCTGAGTGTGGCCACAGAAATCCCTGAGAACTGCACCAGGTTCCTGGCTCGGACCCCTCATGTGGGGTCAGGCAGCATGTTGGGTCGGTCCTGAGCCCCATTGAACACCAGGCCGTCTGCAGGGGTCAGTGCCCCATCTTCTTTCCAGATGCTCTTCTGTTTCCAGGTGGGAAAAGGTCGCAGTGACCTGTAACTGGGCTTTAACTCCTGCTTGACTCCGCTCTGGCCATGAGCGGGGTTGGGACAAGAAATGGGGGCTGGAAATGGGCCATCTGAGCAGATGGCATCAGGGACCAGCAGGACCCCCACGGACAGGCTGTACCCACATGGGGGCTCTGGGTGAGGTGTGAACGGGGAGGTGTGCACAGAGAGGCAGCAGGAGCGGCCCCTTGGCAGAGGAGCGTGGTTCTGGATGTCAGATGGGGCAGGACCCAGGGCTGGACTCTGGTCACTTTCTCTGGACCCTCCCTTAGCCCTGAGCAGCAGGAGGGCTTGGTTTGTGGCAGCTCCCGGTGGGCTCCACGCCAGGCCCTGAAGCAGAGCGTGGGACCAGTAGGATGGCTGGACAGACAGACAGAGGTACACCCAGCAGCTCTGAGACAGCTGTGCCACCTGTGTCCCTTAGAGTGGCAGCACCCTGAGCGGCAGCCTAAGGGACTCAGCGGTGTCGTGCGGAGGTGGCCACATGACGGCAGCCTGTGGGTCATGTCCCGGTGCTGCACCCATTTGTGAGATTCTCCGGCTTCAGTGTCCCCGCCCGTAATGGGGCTGAGGAGAGGACTAGCTGAGGCAGCGTGTGCCAGCCAGCCTGCATGAGCCCCTCCGTGCCCGACCCCACGGGGCCTGGCAGGCAGCACCGCCCTCTGCACGGCCCATCTGCTGGGCCCACGGAGGGGCACAGAGCCTCTGAGCTCCTGGCTTCTCCAGGTATCGGTTTGCTGCCATCCTATCTACCCTGGGGAAGACAAAGGCCCCATAAGCGTTTAGACAGGGCCTCCTGGGCCGTTACATGCTATCACTGCTATTAGACCTGCCTTATCTGATCATCGGGCCCATTAAGGCCACCGCCTGTCAAGCGGGGCTCCAGGAAGTGGGGCCACTGCCCAGCGCTCCAGCAGAGACCAGGCCACAGTGACAGAGAGGCCAAGGGTGGGTGGAAGGGGTGCAACCCAGGGGAGGCACCAGCGAGGGGGCCTGAGGTTCCAGGAGGGCGGGTAGTCCCCCAGGTCACGGGCTCACGTGCAGGTGGGCAGACCTGAGCCCTGGAGTCTGCCTGCAGCCTCCTTAGACCACACCATCCCGGAGCAGACGTCACACGGGCTTGCAGCCAGCCCCCGTGAACTCAGCTGGAGGCTGCAGGCCCCGTGTTGAGCACCGCTGCCACCTCGGAGACAGGCCAGGCCACCACGTGAGCTACAGACGTAGCTACGGGCCAAGGCCTCGGTGCAGTCAGGACTCAGAACTTTCCAGAGGGTAAGAGGAGGTCCCAGGAGAATGGGGGCATTGTAGGGCCCCCACCCAGTCTGCAAGGAGGGGCCAGCCTGGTGCTACAGTCGTCCGTCGCCCGGTCTGTCCCTGCCTTCAGCAGCCTCAGGGCGAAGGCCCAGCCCTGTGCCTGGTCTCCTCACCTGTGGCCGGGCTTTCCTGAGCCTGTCAGGTGGGTGAGCTCATCCGGCCCGATACCAGCCCAAGAGGCAGTGATATGGGACCCCCGGTACAGTTGTGAAAGCAGGGCCTAGAAGGTCCGCAGCAGCCCTCGCTGGGGCTCTGCAGAGCAGGGCTGGGCCAGTGGGCGCAGAGAGAGGCGGAGGCGGCGTCCGGCCTCCTCTGGTGTCCAGAGGTCCCCCGTGTCCCTTGGCTTGTGGCTGCATCACTCGTCTCTGCTCCGTCTTCATGTGCCCCTCCCTCCGGCTGAGGCCTGTCCTCCTTGCACAAGGACAGCAGGCATCAGATTTGGCCCCAGGATGGCCTGCCTCCGTTCCGAATGAATTACTCCCGTTTGCGCAGTCAGTGTGTTCCGCTGGACATGGATTTGGGGAGATGCTCTTTGACCGTGTGGGCAGGAAGGACCTCACGTTGTCTGCTGTGCCCTCCTGACGCAGCAGCACCCAGGAACGCCGGGTGGTGGCCCAGCTGCAGACACGGCTGGGGCTTCATGAGGGCCTGAGCGTCCCACGGCAGCAGTCGGGTGCTCAAGCTGCGTGCCCGTCCGAGATCTCCAGCCCCGCTGCTCGCTGCCCAGAGAAGGTCCCAGTGCAGGGCTCGGGCCCGGGCGCTTCCCCAGGCAGCGTCCCTGCGTCCTACGCTGCCCTCCTCTCACCCCGCTCCCTCTCCACAGACGAGCTGGAGCTGGTGCTGCGGGAGGATGGACGACGGTGCGTGCGTGCCCGGCACGGCCTCGCCGAGGGCTGTTCCTGGGGCCCGTTCCGTGGCAGTGTCCAGAGTGAAGCCTCGTCCCCCAGGCAGGTGCAACCGGTAAGGAGCCCCAACCTGGCCACCCGCCCAGGCACAGGACAGCCGCCAGGGCAGTGTCCCATGCAGCCCCAGGCTCCTCCCAGGAACTCCGGCCACTTTCTGGGAGACCACAAGAGAAGCCTGTGGAGAGATGCAGGTGTAAAGGGCTAGGCTTGGGGAGGGCTTCCTGGAGGAGGTGATACTGAGCCTTTGGGGCCTAAAGAGGGACACAGTGGGGACCTCCTGGAAGAACACCTTCACAAATGAGTCAAGGTTGTGGAGGCTGAGAAGAGGAAGACAGGTCCAGTTCCTGCACAGGGAGGGTGGGTGGCGAGGTGGGAGGAGCCAGCCCCCAGGCACAGGCTGGCGGTTGCCACCCACCTCTCAACCCCACTCTCTCTCCAGACTTGACTAGTGTGGTGCCCACCTGGGGTCATGGCAGGGCCAGGGCTTTCGGCAAGCGTTGGGGCCGCCACCCCTGGGGGTCTGACTGACAGTGGGCAAGGGGCACCCCTGGAGCCACTAGTCAGTCACCGCACTGCACGCTGCTGACATCCCAGTCAGGCACCGCATCCCATGCTGCTGACGTCCCAGCCAGGCTGAGCCTTCCCCAGCCAGCACTCTGTCCACTTTGCAGGCCTCGTGTATGTGGCAAGTGGCTCTGGCCCCCTCTGGCAGGGAGCAAAGCTTCTGTTTCAGTATGCTGAGGAGGGAGGAGATGGGCCCTGGTCCTGAAGTTGGGTGGGAGTTGCAGGCCATGGATTTTGGCTTCGTGGATGGAGCCTGACCAGCTCGCTGTGGGGAAGAGACAGTGGTGTCTAGAGCTGGCTGTGCAGGCAGTGAGCTCCCCATTACTGGAGGCATGTGAGCAACAGGCACCTCTTTGGTGGGCTGGAAGGGGGACTGAGTGGCTAGGAGTCCTGGGCTCCCCTTTGAACTCCCCCGGGGTGGACCCCCTTCAGTGACTGGGTGAAGGCAGGGCAGCTGAGCTGTGGGATGGGAGGCCTGGATGTGTTCTGAGTGGGGCCTGTACCTCTGTCCCTTCACCAGCCCTGCCCAGGATGGACAGGTGCATGTCCCAGACATGCTGTCACACCCCTGGTGTGTACACACGCCCCTCTTCTCCTCCTCCCCCAGCTCAGGGAGGCAGGAGCCACTGCCCCCATCCTACAGATGAGAAAACTAAGGTTAAGGGCCTTGGCCAGAGCCTCCAGGACCAAACAGTAGAGGGCGCAGTGGAGGCCGGACCTGCCCAATCCCGTACCAGTAAGAGGCTGGCTCCGTCCGCCCGGCCTGGCAGTGGGTCCTGGTCCAGCCGCGTCCCCACCCGCCACCTCTTATCCCCTCTGCCGCCTGCCTCCACCTCTCCAGGGGCTGCCTGCCCTGCTTGGGCCCAGGTGCAGGACACTGGGGAGACTTGGCACAAGGTTGGAGAGCTCCCTGGGCAGCGAGGGGCCTGCAGAGAGCTGTGGAGGAGGCCTCCCGCTTCCCTCTCCGTCTGGCTTTATCTCCTGCAGAATTAAATCCTTGATTAACCCTTATCTCCCCAGCGTGGCCGCTATCTCTGCCGTGGCGCCTAGTGTCCAGACACACAGCACAAGATGATTGATTTCTCAGAGATAGGCCGCTATCCTGATACTTCATTTATTGTCTAAATATTTTTGCTAACGTTTCAGCGGGCCCTTATCAAGCTCCACTGACGAGTCCCAGCTCCGCGTGCTCCCAGCCTACCCCAGATATGTCCTATCAGCCCCCAGCCCATCTGTCTCCACGGTTCGGAGTGGGAAGGAGAGAAGGGGGCGCCAATCGGACGTGGCCACCCTTCCCACTTGGTGCTCCCCACCCCTCAGGGCTGGGGCCCCTCAGGCTGGGGCAGCAGGATGGCTCCCGCACAGCCCCCCCACCAGAGGCCCAGGTCCGTGCCCCTAGAAGGACACTGAGCGCACAGAGCCCTGGCCAGGAGTTGAGAATGTTCTGGCACTGACTTTTGCCTGCGTGCGACCTTGGGCAGGTTACTACCCTGCCCCAGGCTGTGGCTTCTACCTCTGTAGAACCAAGGTCTGGAGAGATGGCCCAGCTCACGTGTACGGTGTGAAATGGAGGGACAATCATGAAGGATGACGGACGGCTGGGTGGATGGATGGTGGACAGACAGGGATGGATGGGTTGATGGCAGGTGGATGGACAGAAGGCTGCAGAGATGTGCAGAACCGTGAAGGCCTGGGCCCTGGGCCTGTACAGCTTGTCCCACCTCACTGTGGGATGGAAGGCCTCACAGGGTCGGGGGACACAGAGGAGTCCAAGTCACAGGGCCTCTGCCACTAGACGTGGGCAGGGGCTCTCAGGACAGGCGAAGGCCTAGGTGAACCTGGGGCCCCCACACTGGCCCACTGGGCTCCGGACGGACCACTGGGCTGCCATGATGGCCACCTCACCCGGGACGGAGAGCTCAGCCCCCTCCCCTTGGAGGGGTGTGGGTTCAGGAGCAGCCTCCCCTGATGAAGTTGTAGCAGCGGATGCGGCAGAGATAGGGTTTTCTGATGGTTATCGCTCCCCGCACAGACGCACACACTGACCTCTTTGTTGGGGAAACAAGGAGTGTTCTCAGACCCACGGAGGATTTAAAGTGGCCGCTGCTACCCTGGCGAGTGGGGCGGGGGTCGGGGGTGGTCAGGGCAAGGGTGCTGCAGGGCCAGCCGGGCCACCCAGGGCCCTGAACTTGGGGGCGCTGCAGGGCGGCCAGGTGAGCCAGGCCAAGTGGAGTCCTGAACTTGGGGTCACCCAGTGCAGCGAGAGGCAGCAGACAGCATGCCCTCTCTGAGTGTCCCAGCCCCGAGACCAGGCTGGGAAGTTAAAAACAGCTCTCCCTCCAGCGCCGGGCCCAGGGGCCCAGGGGCCCAGGGGTGCAGGGGCCTTTGCCACTGGAGCAAGGCGCTCTTCCCCAGGTGGTTCTGAACTGGGGAGAGGGAGCTGGTGGCCCCAAGTGATGGTGTCCACAGCGGGGCAGACCTGGGCAGGGACCAGGGTGGGTGGGCCGAGGCGGGCTTCCAGGGTCTGCCACTTGGTGTAGGGTGAGGAGCTGGCCCAGGGCTAGCCCGTAGGCCCTGCCACCTCCAGGGAGCAGGACCACCTAAGCAGAGACATGCTGGCCTCCCCTGGAAGTGAGGGTCTAGCACCTGAAGACCAAGGGCAGGCAGGGGCGGCACCCAGGCCAGCAGGCGGCTCAGGAGGAAGGCTCCCACCTCTCTGCAGGCTGTCCTCAGTATGTGGGGTACAGGCCCCCCCCCAGAGAGCTCCAGCCCAGCAGCGTGATGGGAGGCTACACCGGCTCAGAGCCCCGCTCCCCTCGCCTATGCCCTCCCAGGTCTGATCCGCCCGTGGCCAGCTCCCGCTGCCTGGCACAGCTGGGGGCATACGGTCAGCCCTGCCCCAGCAGGTGGCACTCCGGTGCCCCCTACTTGTCGGAGGGCTGCTTCCAGCCTGTGGCCAGGCGCAGGCACGTGCTGGAACATGGCGGGCGGCACCTCCTGCCCCAGGAGCAGGGCCGAGCGTTCTGCAGCGTCAGCGGAGTTGCCAGCACGTCTTTATCATGCTGTGAACACTCTGCTTCCCGGAGTGATAAGCATTAAACCGACCGGCAGCCTGTCAGTCTCAGTTTGAGGGTTTAGAAATATTGGGACGAATAATTAGATTTCCTATCGTTACCACAGCAGCATCCAGGGATCAGGCAGATTAATTTTTCCCCTCCTCCACTCATTATTATTCATTAGGACTCAGGGAAGCAGCGGCGGGAAGGCCAGGTCCCGCCACTGCTGGGAGCTTTGGGGTCCCGGCGTCAATGCTGAGCCCACCCTTGGGGCCGTGTCCTGTGCCCAACTGTGACCCCGTGACAGCACCTTGGCAAAAACCCCTTCTGACTGAGCCGCAGGGACCCTGGAGGGCATCCAGCCTGCCCTGCAGCCCTCAGATCTCACTGGGAGTCTGCCGGACACCCACCCACCCCAGCAGGCCCTTCACAGGGCAGCTGCCACTGGGCACCCTAGAGCCAGCCCAGCCCAGTGGACACAAGTCTCCTGGGCCCCAAAGGCCCAGCTGACCGAGTATGTCCAAGGAGCGGGCTGACCCGCCGGCCAGGGGCTGGCATTGTATGCAGATCCATGCCAGCGCACTATGCCTTGTGACCCAACGGCAGGTGGCAGTCCCCAGAGTCCACGGTCCCTCACGACGAGGATGGCCCAGCACAGCCTTGGGCCACCCCGTTGTACTCCTGACCCCTCCACAGTGGGGCAGTGGGGCATCCCACCTGCAGACCAGGGGCTGGGGCACGGGGAGGACCGTGCCAGCTGCCACGTGCTCCTGCCCCCACCAGTGACTCAAAGGGGTGATGCAGAGAGTCCCCTGAAAAGTCACTTACACGAAACCCCAGATGTAAATTACCCCAACAGGACATGGGCACACCTCCCTGCGGGTGGCTAGGAGCCCAGGAGATGGCCTCTCCTCCCTCCCCTGTGCAGTGCAGGAGGGAGACTGAGGCCCAAGAGGGTGGGCAGCGTTCCGTGCACACAGCCAGGCTGCCCAGCAGCCCCACTGACAGGCACTCGAGGGCATGGGGCTGAGTCGGCCTCAGGGTCGCGACATCCTGCTGTCCCAGGACCTCAGATGGCTGGGGGTGCCTGCTGAGTGCTCACCAGTGTGGCCCCAGGACCCAAGGGAACAAAAGCACCCTCGCTCTCCAGTGGGAAGGGGACATGGCTAGTTCCCCTCAGCTGCCCCAGCAGTGAACCTCTGAAAGGGGCTGGGGGTAGGCCTTGAGGGGACATGGAGCCCCCTCTTGGCCACTTTGGGCTGATGTGGGCCCAGCCCACAGAGCTCATTTCAGAGCTCTCAGGGTGGGGGCATTTGGGGGGCACGGAAGTAGTCACAGTGGGGACCCTGCCCTGCCCATTACCCAGGCTGCACGTCACCTTCAGCAGTTCGCGGTGCACAGGGAGGAGGGGAGGTATCGGAGAGAATGCAGATCTGGGTGCTAATCCCAGCTCAGCCATTCACTGGCTGTGTGGCTTTGGGCTGGCTACTTAACCTCTCTGGGCCTTCACATCAAAGCCATGAAACCCATGGTACGAGTGGGTACCCACCAGTCCCAGCGGGGTGGTGTGGCAGGGGCACTTCCTAATGGCCCCAGCTGACTGCCTGGCTCGAGGTTAACGGGGCAGGTGCGGTGACTGTGCCCGTCAAGAAATGAGGGTAAGGGGCCCGTGGGAGGCATTCTCCCTGTGCTGACCATGCCCAAGTCTGACAGGTGACCGCAGTGCCCCTCCCTTGCAGAGCCCGCCCCTGACCCTGCAGCTGGAGGACGAGGGCTGCTGGCTGAGGACGCTGCCCCAGGCCGCGACGGAGGTCGAAGCCAACTCATTGATTTACAGGAAGGGTTGGTATCATGTGGCCTTCCCACAGCCCCTTGGCCTTCTGGAAGCGGGGGTCACTCAGCTCTCTGGGGCTGGCCGTTAGAGGAAAAGCACCCTCCTGGCCAAGGGTCCTGGCTGTCGCCGCCATCCCACTGTGCCCACACTGCAGCAGCACCCGTCGGCCATGTCCATTCCTGTCCTGGGGGCTACAATCCACGCAGTAGGCCCCTCAGACAAAGACCAAACCAAATGGTGATGAGAGCAAGGGGCGTGGCCGGGGGCGGGGCACCTGTGCTCCCGCTGGTCAGTGTCTGCTCTCAGGGACCTCCCAGAGGCTCGTGGGGGACAGCGGAGGATTCCCATGACTCAAAGGGGTACCCCGAGGGCCCAGCCTTCATTTCTGCGTGGAGGCCAAGGCCACCAGCAGGGTTGGGGGAAGGTGTGAGGCCACCAGCAGGGATAAACATAATAATAATAATGTGTGAAGAACAGGCCAGCTGCTACTCCTGGCTGGGGCCCCCCTACGCTTCCGTGGGACCAGTGCATCACCCGGTGCCTCGGTTTCCCCACCTGTAGGGTGCCTGCACATAGGCTGGCAGCAACTGTGGGCTCTGAGCAGCCTGTCCCTCCTGCCACCCTGCCAAGCAGGGCTCTGGCCACATGTGGCACCCAGAAGGACAGAGCCCTGCCCATGCTGATGTGAACAAAGATGCACTTGTCCCAGCAGCCACCAGGTGCTGGATTCCATAAGGCTCTCTGAGCTCAAACAGGACCCACTGCTAACGGAGCCCTCCTGTCCAGCCTGGGCACAGGGCATCCTGGGGTCAGGCTCTCCCAGGCCTGCCCTTCTCAGGGAGCAGTGCCACTCAGCCCCAAGCACAGCCTCCAGGGCCGCCCAACACATGAGGCTACCCAACACAAGAAACACTAAGCCTGGCCAGAGTAGCCCCACTGGCCTAGAAGTCTGTTGGCCGACACTGCCATCTGCAGGCTGCCATGGAAACAGCAGCGCCTGCTGGCTCCATCTGAGCAGATGGCAGGCCGACTGCTCACACTTCTGCCACCCTCTGACCACTTCCCCAGGTGCCCAAGTGGCTGTGCAGGGTCTTTCCTAGCAAGGGGGGCAGCTGGGCTGCTGACTGCAAGCCCCTCCCTGTGTGCCAGTGGGGTGGGTACAAAGCCAGGGACTGCTCCCCGATGCTCAGAAGCCCCCCTGGACTCCCTTCTCTGGCTTCAGCACCCTCATCTTTAAAATGGGGCTGAGCAGAGGAACTTCTGAGGATGAAGGGCGCAGGTGGGATCTCTGGCACCCCGGGCCCCTCACCATACAATCCCTTTGCCTCACAGATGAGCAACTCTGGTGCAGGATCACCAAGCCAGTGCCGGCAGGCGGGCTGCTGAGTGCGTGTCTCACGGCTGAGCTCCACAGTGTCCCCAGCCCACCCAGGAAGCGGGAGCTGGCAGAGGCCGAGGGCCAGGCCCCCCCATACACAGACATCCAGCTCCTGCCCCAGCAGGCCGGCATGGCGTCCATCCTGGCCACAGCAGTCATCAACAGTGAGTACACCCCATCTTGTGCCCACCCCACCTGGTCGGAGCTCCACGGCACGGGGACAGCCAGCCTGGTCTTTGTCTGAGCCAGTGCTTACAGGGTCAGGGGACGGGTGCTGGAGGGCACCGATGAGGGGCTGCCCAAGGGCAGGAATGAGCCACACAGGGGAGGATGGGAGAGGGTGCCCCTGCTGCAGAGACAAGTGAGGAGAGGCACAGAAGGGGGTCATTGGGGCCGCCCTGAGCAGGTCCTAGGGCTATGGCAGAGGCAAGGCAGGTCAGCAGTGCGGCCAGTCACATCAAACAAGGGGATGCACACCCACAGACGGGCAGTGCTGAGGCCCCAGCCTGGCCGGCAGGCAAAACCAAAGCCAAGGTCCCACCTGGCTTTAGAGCCGAGCAAGACTTCACTTCACAGGTGGCCCATCCTGTGCGCGGCAGGACACCTGCACCCACTAGATGCTAAGCCTCTCTCCCCTAGTTGTGTCAACCAGAAATGCCTCCAGATGTCACCAGATGCCCCCTGGGGGTAAAACCAGCCCTGGCTGAGAGCCGTGGAGTCAAAACCCTGGGTCTGTCACTTCTCGGAGCCTCCGTGGTGGCTGTAAGAACGTAATCGAATCCACCTGGCCCACAAACAGTCTTTAGCATTCACCGTGAGCCATGCGGCGTCCCAGGCCTGGGGTCACCGAGGGTGGCAGTGGCCTGCCCAAGGACCCAGTGCTCCAGGGAGCAGCAGATGGTAGCTCTAAGCCCAGAGGAGGAGGAGGGACCCAGATATTGACACACAATGGAGGAAATCGCACAGGATGAGGTGATAAGATGGGGCCACTTCATGTGGGGCACTCGGGAAGCTGCCTGGGAAAGACAGCGGTTCCGCAGCCTGGGTGCTGAGGCAGTGTGGCTGGGCGTGGACGAGGCCAGGGAGGTGGCATGGGGGCCAGAATCCACAGGCAGGACAAGTTCGGTGTAGGCTGAGGCCAGGGGGCAGGCACACATCTTATGCAGGCTCCTAGAGCCGCCGTAGCGGGTGCCTGGCCTGTAGTCAGCCCTCGGGGCCTGGAAAAGCCTGCTAAGTCCAAGCCTGTTCTCACACACTTGTGTCCTCTCATGTCCGCTCACACACGTGCAGCTGCACACACACAACATTCTGTCTCCTACCCATTCACACACGTGCACACACACAGTCTCCTCTTTCTTGAGTATCAGGCCCATGCACGCCCTTGGTCTGTGCACACATGCTCCCTGCACCCAGTCACCCTGGCCACAGACATGGACAGCCTCACTCCCAGGCCGCAGGTACACACCCACACACCATCCCTCTGCAGCCATTGAGGCCAGAACAGCTCCTATGAGGCTCCCTGCTGAGACGGGTTCCCAGGAGGTAGGCATAGGGGCTGTGGGCTTTGCGTGTGCACCCACTAGATGCCAAAAGCCTCTCTCCCCTGGTGATGTCAAACAGCAATGCCTCCAGATGTCCCCTGGGGGTAAAACCAGCCCTGGCTGAGAGCCGTGCAGCTGGATGTGGATGAGGCCAGGGAGGAGGTATGGTCTCGGGATTAGTCAGGGATCCCACCTGATGTAGGTTCCAGGCGATTTTGGGAACCTGTGGAAAGGGAGGCTGGGGTTAAAGGGCAGAAGAGCCGGGTCACAGTTGCACGAAGGGGAAAGGCTAAGGGAGAAGTGGGGGCCGGAGGAGAGGCCATAAGAGGCCCCCATCCACACACGCTTCAAGATCACAGGGATGGAGGTCCCAGGGCCCTTGAGGCCCAGCAGGGCAAAGCTGGCATGGAGCAGGGGCCCACGGCCTTGTCTTGGGTCGGGGCTGCCCCTCTGCGGCCGGGTGCACCCTCAGGCTGCTCTGTCCTCTCACCCACAGAAGACATCTTTCCCTGCAAGGACTGTGGCATTTGGTACAGGAGCGAGCGGAACCTTCAGGCCCACCTGCTGTACTACTGCGCCAGCCGTCAGAGCGCGGGCTCTCCCGCCGCTGCCGCCGAGGACAAGCCCAAGGACACCTACCCCAACGAGCGCGTCTGCCCGTTCCCCCAGTGCCGCAAAAGCTGCCCCAGCGCCAGCTCGCTGGAGATCCACCTGCGCAGCCACAGCGGTGAGCCCGGGCACGGCCCGCCCTCGCCACGCCCCCTCGCGGACGCCGCTGCGTCTTAGCGCAGCCTCGCGGGACGCGTGCACGTCCCGCGAGCGCCCACAGAATTTGCGGAGGAAAATGCACCCACAGGGCAGCAAACTCGGGAACCTCTGGGCTTTTCACAAAAGCAAAGGCACAGGTGTACCCAGGCGGTCCTCCGCCCACAGGGCTGGGAAGCAGGCGCCCCTGCCGGGGTCCGGGGAAGTTGGAAGAGTCCACGGCTCCCTGCCTCCCTTCCTGGAGACTGGCCAACCCTCACACCCTGTGTTCCAGGAGAGCGTCCCTTCGTGTGTCTGATTTGCCTGTCGGCCTTCACCACCAAAGCCAACTGTGAGCGGCACCTGAAGGTGCACACGGACACCCTGAACGGTAGGTGGGCGGGGACAGGGCGGAGCCTGGGCGTGGGGCTGTGCCCGCCGCCCGGATCCCTGACCCCCACACCCTGCTTGCAGGTGTGTGTCACAGCTGTGGCTTCATCTCCACCACGAGGGACATCCTCTACAGCCACCTGGTGACCAGCCACATGATCTGCCAGCCTGGCTCCAAGGGTGAGCTCTACTCCCCTGGGGCTGGGTTCCCGGCTGCCAAGCCCCCCGCAGGTGAGCAGCCCCTCCCGCAGAGGAGTGGGGGAGGGAGGGGCTGGCCTGTGAGGCAGGCGGGGGCCAATGACAGCTTACCCCTCCCCACCGGGACCCAGCCGGCTCCCTCCTGGCTGTGCCCCCCGGCTCCGGCCTCAAGTGGGGCTCTCGGATCTCTTGCAGACAGCCTGGCCAGCGGCTTCCCGCAGCACGCGGCCCTGCAGGGCGCCCTGGCTGCTGCAGAGATGGAAAGAAAGCCCTTAGCCGAGGCCACAAACGGAGAGGCCTGGGCGGCCCCCCAGAACGGCGGCGGGCCCCTCGCCGTCCCCGGGAGCATCAAGGTGGAGGTGGTGCAGGAGCCAGAAGCGGCGCAGACTGCAAGCCCCGCGCCCCGTGCCCCCTCGCGCACGCCATCCCCACGCAGCCCCCAGGCAGTACGCGTCAAGGCCGAGCGCTCCAGCCCCTCGCCCGCCTGCAGCCCCGCGCCGGGAGAGCTGGGCACGCCGGCCGGACCTCTCTTCCTGCCGCAGTTCGTGTTCGGCGCGGACGCGGTCCCGCAGGCCTCGGAGATCCTGGCCAAGATGTCCGAGCTGGTGCACAACCGGCTCAAGCAGGGCCAGGGCGCGCCGGGCCTCTTCGCGGGGGCGTCGGCCCCGAAGGGCGCCACCTGCTTTCAGTGCGAGATCACCTTCAACAACATCAACAACTACTACGTGCACAAGCGCCTCTACTGCTCCGGACGCCACCTGGCGGAGGATGCACCCGGCGCGCGC